TTATTATTATTATTATATCTATTAATAATATCTATCCTGTTTAGCACTTGTAAGAGTCCATCTGGAATACTATATCCATTTTTAAGACATTAATATACTGGAGACAGTCCAGCAGAGGCCATCAAGACTATTGAGGCCTGGAGCACATGATGTAGAAGAAGAGGCTGAGAGAACTGGGTTTGTTTAGACTTAGAAGAGAAGGCTAAGAGGGGATCCAATTGCTAGATAGGGGACCAGGAGGGTACAGCAAAAAGATAGTAGAAAATAGACAAGAACTGTAACATACAAAGTTCAGACTAGATATAAAGAAATTTCTAAAGATAACTTCCTAATGTTAATTCAGATGTTCATGTTACCATTTGGAGGGCTCCTGTTATTATCACCCAAAACTAGGGGAAAATATTTTTTCCTTTTTTTTTTCCCCTTCATTTTTCATTGTGATTAGTGCTGTTTTTTTCCTGCAATATATTGGAACAAATAAGATATATTTTCCTACAACTGACCAATACACAGAAATATCAAAGTGGACATAAAGTGAGAGAAGGGCTAAACTTTTTTTCAAAAATCCCTCTAACTATAGTTGGCAAAAAGAGCAGTCACTTTCAATTTCTGTGTAAATTGATAGGTACACATATATGTTATCCTTCTTAATTAATTTTTAATCTCTGATTTTTTTGTATTATATTTTGGGATCTTCTGCCTTGGTGCTATTTCAGAGATTCAGATAGTCCCAGTCATTTAATTTGTTCTGAGCCTGAAGCCTCTGATCATTACCAGTGCTTAATCCACTTAACCACTAAGTATTAGAAAATAAGGAAAAAGTGTAAAAGAGGTATCATTATCAGTTAGACTTTATGGACATCTTTCCACAGAAGAACAGGCAGCAGCTAGAGGACAGTTGAAGCTATTTCACCTCCCAGCAATGTTTAGAGAGGACTAGGTTCATCTTCTTGCTGGGATGAATTTCTTAAACCTAGTTACCTGTCTATTGTGTCTTTTAGTATTCAGTCCTTGAAGTGGTGAAGGAACTCACCCATTGCTTCTTACCTGTGTGTTTTGATACCAGTGCTCATTTTAGAAGGAGCCATGAATTTTCTGAATAAATGTCACTAAGACATCCTGTTGGTCTGAGGTTGCAGGTAGCTGGTTGGTTCTTGCCAACCTTAACTATTCTGTGATTTTGTGACTTTGCTTCTATATTCTAGTTAAAATTCTGTCTTGTCTATGAAACAGAGAGTAAAAATGCATCAGTCTTACAGCAGTCATTTTCAATTGACTTTTAGCATTTTCTTTGAAAAGCACAAGTTCATAATGGAAAGCTATTTTTAGAATAAACCCAATTTTCCAGACAAAAGTAAGTTTGGATGGAAAGTGCTCCCTAGCTTTACTTTTGAACAGCCTTACAGTGTTGACTATGATGAATTCTTTGTATTTGTAAAACAAAACAAAACAAAAAAAAACATATACTTAAAGGAGAAATCACATTCTAAAAGCTAGGAAAGAGCAGAAGTAGTAGCACTTCACAATGAAAAATGATGATCCTGAGTCATAGGATCATTCTGCTGCCTCAGAAAACTGCTTTCCAACTCTGTCTCTGTCTCTAAGGTCATACACAATGCTAGGCAAAATATCACAATTGGCTTCTAACTTCTGGTTTTTGTTTTTTGAATGTCCAGACAGCCAATGAGGTAAGGGTTGAGAACCCCTAGTTGCAACTAAAGTAACAAGTATGACACTCTTGGTAACATAATGTTGATGCTAATTGCTCTGTGAAATCAAACCAAAGCACCTCTAACTGGTGAGCTCTAACACTTTGGACACTTTAGACCTCCATCTATTTATGCTTTTTGCTTCCA